TCAATGTCATTACGTATTTTCTTTCAACTTCTTATTAAACTCAACAACACATGTAATCATTTATAAATATGACATTATTGATGTTGCATATGACTCCAATGAAAACAAATTTTTAAGTGTTGTCGTTGGAAGTTTATTCTCTTGGCAATCATACAAGTGCATTCATAATTGGGGTAGTCGTATTCTTTTGGGCTTATAAAAATAATTTGGATTGAATGATCAGTTAGGCTATATATACATTTCACAACTTTAATCATTTGTTGTTGTTATTATTATTATTAACACACACAAAATAAAATCATCATTTCTCTTCCAAATAAAGGTTATTGAATAGTTATTTTAAATATAATATGCTACCAAATATGTCATAAAATATAACATCATCCCAATTTCTACTCTCATATAATAAATTAAAGGAAATTTTTAAATAAGATTTAATCTTTACCTATCATTAATTTTTTTATAAAATATATAAGTTTTGTTTATAAAAATTAGTTGTTATTTCTTTTGCTTTTATAATATTGTTTAATATTTAATTTTGGTGCAATGTTAATTTAAAGCTTTTACATTATTAACCCATTAAAAAACATCATAGATTTAATTTATATATTAATTATTAAAAAATCAATAATTCTTCCTGATATAATAGTTTATATTGGATAACACTGTAAATAAAATTTTATTATTTATGGATATAAAGCAGGAAATTATTAGGCGACACACATATTTATTAGATTATTATTATTATTTGACTAAAATATGTTTTAAATTTTTGTATTTTGTGAGATTTTAATTTTAGTCTCTAAAAAAATAGTTATAATCTCTAAAAATATATTAAAACCTTTTTAATTTTATGGAATATTAGTATATAAATTATCACCGTCAGGGTGAAGCGACAGAAAGAGAAAGGCAAAAATGGAATTATCCAGTGGCATGTGGAATTGAGACCCATCGCAAATATATTGAACCACAACAAAAGAATGCAAAAATCTAAGAGGAATTCAATTTGGAGGTCACTGGAAATTTGAAAGAATATGATTCGACGATTTTAGGAAGGACAACTCAAAACAAAGCCTCACATCCGCATGACATTTTCCTCGTACCTGCCTTTCTATTCTATTTCCATTGTCGTGCTAATTAATACTCTTAATATAGTGTTACGACTCAATTGTAGCCTTTAATTTGAATATTATATATATATATATATATATATATATCTATATTAGTTTAAAAATTAAGTAAGTTTAGTCATGATTTTTGAAATTTTTATTTTTCATCCAAATATTTAAAGTTGTGATAAATTTGGGATATGAAATAATTTTACAAGTATATAAAGGGGTTAAAAATTTAAAGCAATTTTCAAATGTTAGATTAGAGTTTGAAGGGAGAGAATTTAAGATATTTTATGTTTGATAAAATTGAATGTTTTTGTTGATCAGTTTTAAGGGTAAGGCATATTTAACATTAGAAATTAAAATGACTACCAAGTGCAATATATTTTCAATTTTTCAAACTTTTGTTTACATATCAAATTAAATTTCAATCCATTAAAAGCATATCAATATCTTAGTCTAGTTTTCCTTAAGAAAAAAACACATATGTTCATAATTTTTCATTTTATTTTTTAAAAATAAATTATGCATGTGTTTTTTAATTTCAAATAAATTTCATTTAATTCTTGAAATTCTATCCAAATTAATTATATATATTTTTTCAAATTTTTAAATAATTTCCTTAAATATTTTAAAGTTATCTTTCAAAATAACTTATGCAAAACACGAATGCTTACTATTTTCTAAATATGCGAGAGGCAATATTTATCATATGTATGTATGTAGGATTTATAGAATATTAGGAAAGAGGTAAATTTTAATATTAATAATGATAATGAAACTTCTAAGTTTGGTTTTTGTTAAAATATTCACACATAATTTGCATTCGGATAAGTATTCACTCATCTCCACCTTAAAATTTTAGATTTCCTAAGAAAATAGCTACTTAAAGGTAATAAAATGATGTTTTGAAAATATGATCGAAATAAATAAATAAAGCATATTCTCATCGAATTTTGCATTCGCCCCGGAGAGATTGAACTGTGTGCATCCCAGGCCATGCAATCAGTTCCGGTTCAATTCGACCGGTTTTCATCGTATAAGCCGGTCGAAGCGGTTCGCAGGTATTACTAACTCTGTAACTCATTAAAATTATTGGTGGAACCCGCATGTTTCCTTCTCAGAATTCCTGTCGGAGAATGACACGAAGATGACACGTGTCCACATATTGCAACCTACGTGTACAAAAACATAAATAAACCGCCACGTGTAAATAGAGTACAGCATTGACCATATATCCGAATGTAGCTGAGTGGAACCCTTTGATGCGAGAAGAATGAAGCAGGGCAAAGGGCAGGGAAGGAAAACGGTGCCGTTTGTGTCCGTATACAATGGGTTTGTGTGGTAGCGGATACAGGGGATGATAGCTTTGTGGGGGGGGGGAGACGAGTACAAAGGAAGTTTTACCCACGCGTCGTGCCAGCTGTTAGGGCCGTGGAGTCCGTGATTGCGTGCAGGAAGGACCATGTGGGACCCACCTATTCCCTCTCTCGCTACACTACACACTTCCCCTCCCATTAATCATATGCTAATTTATCTAGTGTTTTAATATTATTACTATTTTTTAAAAAATAGAAATTTATATGTGGATGGATGAACTATCACTTACCTGTCATGCTGGCCAGTACCCACTTCCTTCTTGTCAGCAATCTCACTCAATAATACCTTCAAATTTTCTTTTCTAATATCAAATGTTACCTATTTTTTATTTTTTGTTCTGTTTTATTCGAAACATGGTTTAGCTCAACTGATTGGAGGGGTTTGGTTAACCCTTCATATGCTGGGTTTAGATTCTTCTTCCACATTTTATTTTTAACCTCATTGGTTACCGACAACATCACTTCTGGACAGGCTTAGAGTATTTGCATTTTTTAGCTATTTCCCATCCAAATATACACATTGTAAATGTGAGGTTAATTGAGAAAAATAAATAAATAAATGAACAGCTATTAAAAAAATAATTAAATATTATGGGTTAAAATTTGGTGTCTTTCAGTTTTGTTTTTTGTTTTTATTATTATTAATCTTGACTTCTGCTGCAATACATTTATTGAATTATACGCGTTCCGTTCTGAAATGAACTGTCTACCTCATTTAATTAATTTTTTATTCTAACTTTTAACAAAAATATTAATTTAATTCTTATTGCTGAATTTAAGCAGCTAAAAATGGTAAGTATTTATTAAAAAAATTACTTAATGAATCAAGAATATAAAAATAAAAATATAATAACTATTTTAAAATCATTCCAACTGAAAATAACAATATAATTTTTTAATTATAATTTTTATTTTATCATATAAGTTTAGCATATTAATCAACACGCTATAAGAATCGACTTATATGTAATTGTCACAAAACCAACTTCTGATGAGTATGGAATTTGTATAAATTGCCTTACAATTCATTTACTGTTAAGTAAATTTAATATTTATTATAAAATTAACACTCAATAAAATAATAAAAAACTCACCGTACGCATCGCACATGTAAGAGTGTCGTAGTAATCCAAACAAATAATAAAATTAAGAACTTTCTATTTGTATGGTTATCGAATTTTTTGTTCTAATTATAATTTATTTGCCATTTTAGCTGAGAATGAGGATGTAATTGTACATCACAATTCTAATATTTATATCAATTTTGCTATATCTGCTCCCCAAAGTAATTGTTCAGAGATTCAATAACGATGATGAATCTGAGGGAGACAAGCGTGGTCTTCTAAAAAATTATTTACGAAATATATATTTGTAAATTTTACTTTCATGTAAAAAGTATATAATTATATTATTTATTATTATAATTATGTATATTATCAAATTTTCATGTAATTAATAGATAAATAAGCCTTTTAGATATATTAATTATGAAAGAGGTTATATATACCCCCATTAATTAGTTTTTATATTCAAGAAAGACTCATAAAAAATAATTAACAATGTGAAATATTATATTTTTAGTAAATTTTATTTCAAATTCTTAAGTATTTAATTTAAGGGATATAATCAGTAAAAATTATATAAAGAAATTAACTCTATTTATTACATTTCATTTACTATATTGACAGACCAGTTAAAATATTTAATCATGATAGTCATTTTTCTATAGTCACAGTCAAGATGACAATTTATCAAGTGAGTTTATCTGAATCATTAATTGAAGTGTTTAATTATATGCACTATTAATATTTCATTAATCATAGAAGTATTTTTAAATTTAAATATACTTTTAAAATATTTATAATTATAAAAGATGCAGGGAGAATTAATTCAGATATAATATATTATTAATTTTCCATTTGAAAATATAATACAAAAAGATCGGTGAGATAAGTAAATGAGCAAAATAAAAGAAAAGACCATGTGAATTGTGAAACGTGGAGGGTAAGACTAGAAGAATATAACCATTTTTTTTTCTTTCTCCTGTTTTTGAGTGAATGACTTGCGGATCAATTATGCTCACACCAAGGAAGTAAGACATTAAAAAGGCATATATATTAACACGTGTCAAGACATTAATTAATAATTAAAATGGATTTTCATTAAAAATTATATTATTAAATGTATATTTAATATAAATTGTTAATTATTTTCGGTATAAAATTTTAAATAAATTTTTATGATGTGTCTTAGATGATATTCAAATTAAACATTTATTCAATAATTTTTATTATTTAAAAAATTATTTTAATAAAGCATATAATAAATTTATTAAAAATAATTAAAGACTTTTTAAAAATTATTTAAACGGGTTTCTTGTTCTTTAAGACCCATAAGAAAAAAATAAAGTCTAGTGAGAGGAAACTAAGGTGGAGTTATGAGTTAGTGTCTTTATGGTATTGTCCTTGTTTTCCTCTCAACAGTTAAATGTTACTGAGAATAGAAGCCAGCAGAGTAATAAAAGAGGCCAAACCGGCACAGAGAGAGAGAGAGAGAGAGAGAGAGATTCACACATACGAATTTCTTTTCTTTTAAAAAATGAAGATGAAACAGAGTGTTTCCACTGATATTCTCTGTTTCTTCATTCTGTGAACCAAATTTTGAATATATTCAACCTTTTGTGTTTGTTTCAATTCAAAGTTGAAGGCTTTGGGTCTGATCCATTCCATTGGGATCATCTTCATCTTCATCATCATCACATGGCTAAGCCTGGGGTCTTGGACTCTGATCCGGAGGTGATGGTGAAGAAGGCCATAGAGTTGAAGAGAGAACTGCAGAGGCTTGTCAAGTCCATTGTTGATGATGAGGATTGTAGCGCTGAGACCATTGATCAAGCCATGGAATCTCTCTGTGTTCTCAAGGAGTTGAAGCTCAAAAAGAGGTCATCACTGTCTTTGAAGCTTCATAACAACACTGTCACTTGTTGCCCTGATGAATTCAAGTGTCCTCTTTCCAAGGAATTGATGAGAGATCCTGTCATTGTGGCTTCTTGTCAGGTTAGTGTCAGAATTTAGAGTGTTGTACTAATAATAATATTAATAATGATAATTATAATTTGCTGTGTTTGGTTTGGTTTCTGGGAAAATGTTGGAAGCAGAAGGAAAAATTAAATTAAATTAAATCAAACTGGGTGGTTGTTGTTGTTATTATGTTTTTTAATAAATATCTGGGTACCCTGCAATGTAAGGTGAAGAATTATCCTACAATGACAAAAAGGGCTTAAAAGTTATAAACAAAAAATGGGTTTTTTTTTTTTTTTTTCGGAATTGAATTTAACTAAAGTGAAGATGTGGATTCTGGTTTTTGGCCTTTTGTCCATCTCTTTTGCTGGAATTTCTGTACTTTATTCTATGTAAGTGACTCAAAAGGTATGGGAAAGATAAAAAGGGAATATATTCAGTTCTTTCCTCGTCTAGTCCAGAACCTTAGAGATATCTATTATCTATTCTATGAAATACATAATATAGTTCATATTATTTATTTTAATATATGTGAAGCGCTTCAACATTTGGCATTGCAGCTTTCTCTTTGCTCTTCTTTTTCTTTCAAACCAAACAGTTTTTTTTTTTTTTTTCTTGTTTAAATGCTTTACATCGCTGTCAATGTAAGAGTGCAATGTCAAGTACTTTTTGTTTGATTTGCTGAACTTCTGCGAGCTTCTCTTTATTTATGTTGTTAGCTTTACTGCATTTATGTTTCAAATGTACGTTTCATAAAACAAAAAAGAGGAAAAAGAAAAAGGGCTATTTAATAATATATCTATGATAGTCTTTGTGGATGGAAAGAGAAAGAGTGGGAGGTGAAAAAAAGAATAATATTCTTTGTCCATAAACGTGATTCTGGAGTGAGTGAGTGAGTGGCGGTGGTGATTGTATCTTTGTGTAGAACTTTTGACTGGTTTTCTAAAAAGGGAATAATTAAATTCTAGTGTTCTTGGCTTCTTCTTTTTTCTTTTTCAAATTTCTACTGTGATGCCTTTCCCCACCCTAACCACCACTCTTTATCTTTCTGTTCTTTGCCTTTTTCTGTGCATTGATACTTCTAATTGGTTTCAAGAGAATCAGTTATGATTTGGAACAATTGGAGACTGTGCAGATTTTTTCCTAGTCTAATTTTGAACCATGATTCGTTTAACGGTTTTTTTAACATGTAACCAACAATAACCTATGTATAATAAGTTTTTCATGGAAATCACAGGATATTACAGAATACAATATATTGATAATATTAAATGTTATAATTTAAAAAAAAATTACTTATTAATTTCTTATCACGTGCCTTTGAGCATGCAGCAGAAAAATTGTTCATTTCATCACCCTCTATTGATTGTTAATATGTGACATCCTTATGGTTTCAATTTTGCAGACATATGATAGACCTTTCATTCAAAAATGGCTGAATGCTGGAAATAGGACATGCCCTCGAACCCATCAAGTCCTCTCACACACTGTGCTTACACCAAATCAACTAATAAAGGAAATGATAGAACAATGGTCTAAGAACCAAGGGATTGAGTTGTCCAATACTGTCAACTATATTGATGAGGAAGGTCTAAAAGAAGCTGACAGAGACCATTTTCTTTGTTTGCTTAAGAAAATGTCTTCAACACTCTCTGATCAGAAAGCAGCTGCTAAAGAACTTCGCTTGTTGACAAAGAAGCACCCTTGTTTCCGGGTACTATTTTGTGATTCTGCGGATGCTATTCCCCAATTGCTTAAGCCAATTTGTGGGAGTGATTCTTTTAGTAGCATTCACCCTGATCTCCAAGAAGATGTGATCACAACACTTCTCAATATCTCTATCCATGACAACAACAAGAAACTAGTCGCTGAAACTCCAATGGTAATTCCACTCCTTATGAAAGCATTGAGATCTGGAACAATTGAAACAAGAAGCAATGCTGCAGCAGCACTTTTCACTTTGTCAGCTCTTGAATCAAACAAGGAACTTGTTGGTAAATCCGGTGCCTTAAAGCCATTAATTGACCTCTTGGAAGAAGGGAATCCCTTAGCAATGAAGGATGTTGCTTCAGCAATTTTTAACTTATGTGTAATGCATGAGAACAAGGCAAGAGCGGTTAAGGATGGCGGGGTGAGGGTGATTTTGACAAAGATAAAGAATCGGATTCATGTGGATGAATTACTGGCTATCCTTGCTTTGCTTTCAAGTCACCAGAAGGCTGTTCATGACATGGGAGAGCTTGGAGCTGTTCCTAGTTTGCTAAGCATTATCAGAGAGAGCTCTTGCGAGCGCAACAAGGAGAATTGTGTTGCAATCCTTCAAACTATTTGCCTGTATGATAGATCAAAGTTGAAGGAAATAAAAGAAGAGGAGAATACCCACAGAACAATCTCTGAGCTAGCACAGAATGGAACATCAAGGGCTAAGAGAAAAGCTAGTGGAATTCTTGAGAGATTGAACAGGGTTGTTAATATCACACACACTGCATAATGTGTCTTGTGCACTCTCTCTAGGTACATTAAATCGTATATTCTGCATCTGTCTGTCTTCAGACATTTTTAAGTTTTTCAAAGTTAAAATCAGTCAGCAATTCTGTCTCATCACCAATTTTGTACATTCTTTTTTTCTTAACAAAGTCATCCTCGTGTTCATCAGTTAGTGACTCAATAAAGTGAAGTCATATTCTCTTTGCCTCCAAATTATTATTCAAAAAATTCAACAAGTTGGGTATTTGGGCTTAAAAACATTTTTTAGTTTTAGTTGTTTATATCATCTCTATTTTTACTTTGTTAACTGTTTTGGAGAAGATTAAGATGGAAAACAAACAAATTCAGTGAAGGACTTTATGCTTTCATGCTTTCCATGGTAATACTGCACTGTACTGTTTAACCAACCATGACAAACACCAACTTGTACATGGCTTAAATAAATTAATCACATTCCGTGTAAGGGGAGCAAGAAGAATCACTGTGAATAACTAGTTTCATACTTTCAATTCTGAATAACAACACAATTCCATTATTTTATTATTGATTTATTGTTTAGCTAGCTCTCTCCCCATGAGAAATTGAGCTTATATGTTATCTATCTTTTTTCATATTTAAATTAAGTAAATCTTCATTTTAAACATGTGAAGTTATTCATATTAATCTTTTGAATTTTGAATTTAAATTCTTAGTTCCTAAAATTAGAGATTGTTAATTAGGTTAGACTTTACCATTAAAAAATGTTAAAATTGAATAATAGAGTGATGATATGTCTTATTAAATGACACGTATTAATTCATTTTTGATATAAAAGGACGTCATTTTATAATATTTTAAAAATAGTTTATTTTATCCTTTATTTTAACTTTTTCAGATAATAAGGTCTTTTTTCGTTTTTTTCCATGGTGTCTTTTTTTAATAATGGTGTAATGATATTTACGCTGTAAAAGTCTTTCGTCTTTTTTTTTTTTTTCAACTGAATTACCATATTCAAATTTCAAATATGTAACGGAGAACTAATTGTGATCGATTCAGTGAAGGGGTCTCAAATTTGTCACCTTAGGACTTTTTTATTTCCCTCATATTTCAAAAGCTTTCACTTGTGAAATTCTTATATCCCTTTACAATAATTCTTTTGGAATTTATAACCTCTTAGGCTACAATGAGAGATGTTGCTGTAGTTACTCTCAAACACGTTAGAAATGTTGGTTTCATCATTCTTACACTTTGTAGTCCTTTGCAGCGGTAATCGAAGAAATGAAAAAGACGTCGTGAAAGAAGGCGAAAAAAAAAAGAAGATAGTAAGGAACTTCATTGCTCAAAAATATTAAAAGTCAGAAATAAAAATAAACTATTTTTAAAAAATTTTAAAACAACATTATTTTAAGTCAAAACCGTCACGTGTTATTTAACGTAAGTAAATCATTAACTTTGTTATCTAATTTTAATATCTTTTAATGGCAATGACTAATGTGATTGACTATTGTTAATTTTATGAACTAAAATTTTAAATTTTGATAATTCACTTTAGTCAAATTACATATTTTAAGAACTAAAGTGAGAGTTTATTCTTTTTAAATCTCTTGTGACCCTAAAAAATTGAAAAAGAAAATGAAGAGGAAAGAACTTTTTTTTTTCCATTCCAACTCAATTTTTATGGTTGTTGAACAATTTTTTTTCCTCAAAAGTTCCTAATCTCTGTTTAATTTAAAAAATTGTTACAAAGATCAAAATAAATTTAACAAGCACATCAAGTGAAATTCTATTTTGTTTTTACTAATGCAAACTAATTACATTTACGTCTTCTTTTATAAAAAAATTACATCAAATTTTCTTGTTTTGTTATTTTTAAGAATGTTTGCTGTATAATTCTTACAATGAAGTAGATGTGTAGTTCTTTAAAAACAATGGTTGACAATGTATAAAATTAAGATATCAAATAAGAAAAGTTTGTATAAATTTTCAAATGAGTGGAGTATAAGTGTAATTATTGTTAACTTTAAGAGAGAGGTCAATGTAATTAAATTCATGTTTTTGTTTTTGTTATGGGACCTTTAGTATTTTTAGACTGTAACTAATTTATGAGAAGCTAATATAATTATTTTTCATTCGCGTACGCACATATGGGACTTGGTTTAGAGAGAGTTAAATTAGCATGCCATAAGCATAAATCATTTAATCTTAAAAATAGTATAAATCATTGAATGCCAAATGCTTACAGTTAAGGATCGATGTGGGACTCTCGAATCAAATTGCAAATATCGTAAGTCACAGATACAACATGTTGTAACGACCACGAAACAGAATATGGCTTCTATGTAGGTGGCTGAAATAGGGAAGTTATCTCTTATTCCTCTTTCAATGGGTAATTGTTGTCGTGGCGTGATAAAAAAGAACTAGAGGAAAGACCCATATGGAGCAAGGAACTTACAAAAAGGATAAAAGGAAAGAAAATGAACCCACAAAATATCACTTCGCAACTCACAAGGAATCAAATTCACTTAGAAAAAAACAAAGATAGATAGAAAGAAAATGAATGGTGAAAATATCACTTATATACTTAGCAAATATCACTACACGACTCACAAGGAACCAAATTCTCTTCTTTCTGTTGTTTTCTTTTGGTATAGCTCAGTATGTAGGACTTAGTATACAACTCATCTATCGACAAAAAAATAAAAATAAAAATAGTTTAGAACTCATCTAATTAATGGGTACAGGAATAATGACATTCTCTCACATATATCCTAGTGTTATGTAGATGTAAATTGTACTATAAACTTGTTGCAAAGTCTTCATTTCTCTTATTTTTTGTTGTTTTCTTTTGGTCTTTGTCACTATGTAGGACTTAATATACAACTCATCCAATTACTGGGTATAGGAATAATGACATCCTCTCACATAAATCTTAGACTTATGTGGACAAACTGTACTATAAGCTTGTTGCAAAGTCTTCTTTTTTCTTAAATGTCATTGGTTAAACTTATTGATGCTCTGGATTATACTTATTAATCATCCAATAATCTACTTTTAAAATATACAAGATCTTTTAAATAAATTCTTTTTTTTTTTGTCAAAATAAGGTAAATTTTATTTTTTATTTCTATTTTTATTTCATTTATTAAAGTATTAAATAAAAAATAAATATTTTTTATGTTCTAAAAGTATAAATGATACAAACAAAACATATTATAACTGAGGAGAGGAGTATGAATTAGTGTATTGATCCATTGCAAAGTGTTTGTAGTTTATTAAGAGTTCACTACTGAAATAGATTCAACAGGGAAAAACAAGAAGAAGAAAAAGACATGAAAAGAAGAGGTTAAATACAAGGGAGATTTAAATTTCAAAGATAGAATGAGAGCTAATTATAGAATGAAAAATAAGACAGATATTGAGTGAATGAATTGTAATCAATTTCTTTTAACTAAGGTCAATTTTTATATGTAGTGTGACGAAAGTAAGAAACTAAATCAGTTTTGTGATAACAAATTGCTAATAAATATTAAAAACATTAAGTAAATTGGATAATAACTAATATAAATACTTTAACATCCCCTTTCAACTTCATAGATACTTCAAGTTTAAGCTAAGTTTGGCCTTAAAAATAGTAAACCTAGCGTTGGAGGCGGCTTTTGTGAGTCCATTGACAGGTTTTGCAGTTTGGTTGGATAGTGATTAGAATATGATGAATGGATACTTGCTAGAACCATCTCACAAACAAAGAATAAATCAAGCTCAAAGTTTTAGTTCTATTGATAACAAGAGAATTTATAAATATAGTAGGAAGAAAAGTAATTAAGTGTTATAGCTTTGTAAGTAAAGAAGTTATCTAATCTATTTTAGGAAAGGATATTTTCATAATAGTACAAGTCTAAAAATTTTTACACTTGTTATATGTAAATTAAATAAAAAGTTTAAAATGAGTGTAGAAGTTTTTAAACTTATACTAGTATATGAAGATCATGTCCCATTTATTTTATTACAACTACACATGTAATTGTATTCTTCATTTGTATTTGACATATTGACAACAAGCATTTGTTTGCACAACCAAGTCACAAGATATTGGCCAAAGTATATGTAATGACCTAACATAGACATTTTGTTATCGATAAATCATTATTTATTATTTATGTAAGTTTATTTTAAAAATTTTATGCAATTCTCAATCATTTAAGCTGATTACATATGGATAAAAATAATTAAGAATGCATTTTGAAGAAAAAAACAAAAGTTTATGACCATGTTCAAGGAATTAAGCATGCATGCCCATGGTATCATGAATATGTCCATGCTTAGTTAATCAAGCATGCCTATGTTGAAACCAACATGCCTAAACAAGCTTAACCATGCTCCTTATTAGTGTGCTTATACTTTAAGAAACTAAATTTGCAAAAAAAAAAATTATACTAGAATTTGCAAAATCGTGATGGATATGAGACAAATTTACGAGAGTAACAAGAGGATAATAGGATATTTAACGCACCTAAAAATTCTAAGGAATGAATAGTCGAATTATATTTTAAATCTATATATGCTTACTACAGGCATCAACAAAATTAATGAGGTATTTGGTGCCAATAGTGTTATCAACAGTAATTGATAAATTCTTATTTTATTTGTTTATTTATACAAATTTGAATAAATTTTGTCATGATTTTAAATGTTTATTATTTCATTTTACTCAAGAAAACTTATTTATTGCAAACTAAAAAAAATTGATTCATATATGTTTCTAATAAAGGATTTATTATATCATCTTGGCTCTATTTGGTAATACTAGCTAAAAAGTAGGATTTAGCGAAAAATCCATATATGTTTAATTTATAATCAAAGCTAAACTAGTTTTAAAATCCAAATTTTTAGTACAACCTGATACTTTAATCCTTCTTTCCTCTTCTATTTCCCAAGCCCTGCATGAAAACACTATCCTATCATAGTTTGAAAACACCTTTCTTGTCTTAACACTTCAATCCAATGATAAACTAACTTCTTGTTATTATAATTTTTTTTTGTTCATTGTCATTTTTCTATGTTGGCCTTATTGTTGTTGGGTCTTGGTGTATTTTGAACATATTTTAGAATAAAGCCCAAAAAATATAAGGACATTGGTAGAGGAGAGATTAGTTTGGGTTCGTTAAATCAAAATTGGTTCTAAACCAAATTTAAATTTTAAAATTAATTTAAATTAATAAAATAAATTAGTTTAAAATTCAATCCAAATATATGGATTTAAAATAAATTTAGATTACTTCTATGTCAATCCAATCTATTTACAACCCTAGTTAAAAGTTGTAATTAAAGCTTATAGTTGATTAACTAATTGAAAGTACTTAACTTATAATTAAAAGTTTATAGATTTAAGATTTGTATCTATGTGTAACTTGTTTTAAAAATAAATATAAATTGACATAAAATTATTAAGTTATAAGTTGGATGTTGTTTTACCAAACTTTTTTAAAGCTATCTTACAATGGTTATAAGTTCTTTCTATTTTGTTATTACTAAACAATTCTACTAATTTATCAAGTTATAACTCACAAGTAAGCTATAAGTTCATGTTGCCAAATACAGTACTTTTAATTTCTTTTCTTTGATTTCTTTTCTTTAAATGAACTTATGTTTCTCTTTCAATTGAGTTTGTTGAATTGACCTTCTCTAAAGTGAGAAAATGTGTAAAATAAGACTTTATCCATCTTTACTTTAAATTAAAGTCTATTTTTCATTGATAACTTGAGATTATAATTATTAAAATCAAACTAGACCAACAGGTGTGATTGGAATTAGTGAAATTTATTAGTCTGAATAACTTATCATCAGTGGAGTAAAAAGTAAATAAAACAACTAATGACATTGGTCCAAAATAAGATATAATTGATAAAAAAAAAAGTGCAATTTTTTTAAAAAAAAGCTTATACATAATATTTACGTTAAATTATTATTATTATTTAACTGTATATTATAATTTTTTTATCTTATATATATATATATGATTATTTTATGTTAATTTATTATTTCATATAGTTTGTAATATAAATATTTTTTTACCACTAGTTTGACATCAATTTAACCATCATTAAACATTTACTTCCTTGCCAAGGTAAAACATTTCCCTTTATGTGTCCAGGCATTAAACTTGGGCCCTTTCAGTTTGGTTGCCTAGCTTCATACCATAATTCAAACCCATACAAGTGAATATTTCAATTTTTATTTTTCTTTTCTAGATTTACAAAGTTCAACAATCCGCAAAATGCCATCAAATTCATACCCCTTCTAAATCTAAAAACATACCCAATAATGACTCAATCTATCACGCAAAGCGTTTAACATGTAAGCTTTCGTAGCTCAGTTGGTTAGAGCACCCGTTTAGTAAGCGGGAGGTCTTGAGTTCGACTCTCAACGAAAGCAAAACTTTTATCTTAATGCTGACTATTTTAATTTTTTGAAAATTAAGAGTATACAATGAAAAACATTGAACATGTTAGGCAACTATAGAGGGTGCTCTTTCAAGTGCAATGCTTTGCATTCAGAGTCAATTAGAGTACTATGTACACATTTTCAGGGAAACAAACTATAGTCATATATACATTTCAGAATAACTCATGTTCGAAATTATGGTACCGCGGAGAAACTCCTAAAACCATTGGCCACACTACAAATGCAGGGCGAGAAAAGAAAACCCACAATTAATTCAAAGTTGTTCTTAGGCTAATATGTCTTGTATGCCCATCCATGAGTATCCAAGAATGCTTGAACCGCTTCCTTTATTGCCAAGTTGGGTATTAGCTGTGATGGATCAAGAGGTTCCCGTGTGACAGGCTCAAACTTACCGACCTAAATTTAGAGAAGTTAAATGACTGCAAAATGACTTAAAATGAAATTTACAAAATCTGGTCTAGAAGATGTGACATACAAATTAACTTACCTTCTCAAGATGCTCAAGAATCACTGCCCTCTCGTATGTAAGTCCACTTGGGGTTATAACAGGATCACGAAAAATATCAAGTGTAATTCTACAGCATAGATAATCTGGCACCTTAAATATTCAACAAGCCATTTTGCACGATAAATAATATAGCAATTTTCCGGGAACCAATAAGGTTATAAGATAAATAGTATAAGATGCGAGTTGCATGTACCTCAGTAGGAATGTCAGGTTCTGCAACCTTATTAATCACTCTTTCTAAAACTTCTAATTGTTGTAAATAGGCAGCAGTAGCATTTTCTGTAAGTCCTTCCGATTGGGAAACATCAAGAGAATGTTTATGCCATAAAGCAGACTCACAAACTTGTCTGAGACAAAAACATTTTATATTAATAACTCAACATTATATCTATCATCCTCTGGCCAATAAATAAATTACACGAACTAATAACATATATGATGCAGACAAAGCATCAAGTACTGATGAATAACCCTTAGATAATGGGTCCAGCAATCACCACAGAAACATACTTCAAGCACTGCAATTCCCTTGTTCGGTTAGTAGATGAAAGGTCCCACTGTGTGTATTTTGCGTTCCTAAACTCTTTCTGTATCTCCTCTACCATATAACTGTTAGGATGGGCACCTCTACAGAGATCCAAAGCCTATTAATGATGACCATAAACCATGAGAAACTTATCATGCATAAAACACAAGGAAAGAAACACCTTTTCAGCAAGAAAGTTGTATTTAACAGAATCTGACATAAAAAACAAAAGGGAGATATGCTCAGGTAATCTGAGAGAATGCACAAGAACTCTGTGTACCCCAATCTACAATAGTAGAGCAAACCCTATTTGCATGCAAAACTCAACATTGGGAATAAGCAACAAAAAAGAAAACCATATGCCAATGTCAAATCAATAGAAAGATTTTGCAAATATGTTTTATATCAAAAACAACCTAAAAGAAAGTTATCTTTCCTACCATATATTTTGAGTTGAACACAGCCAAATTCTGCACTTGCGAATGTTTATGCCTAATAAATCATTAATTTAATTGGTTGATGACAGAGAGGGGCATAAGGTCTGTTAGCTTCTAGTTTGCAATAATTACTAAATAGTATGGCATGCATTAATAAGATGCAGAAGCATCCCATCACAATATAACATAGCAATTCAAGAAACTATGAGCATAAAACAAAACTAAATGCATTAGCAAATTGGTTGACAAACAAAAAAACATGAAAGACATGATGAATATATGCAACAATAACAACAACTAAGTCTTATCCTACTAGGAGAACATAATGAATAAATATATGACAAAAAAATTCTAACAAATTGAACAAAAATTTGGAACTTCTGAAAATAAGCAATGAATAAATGGTGTTTTATTATTGCCATCAGCTTATGATACCAAATTAAAATTTAAGCAATTCTTAGAATATGCTACTGATACTCGGGCTAACATAGTCCAGCTAATATGTTGTTGAAGATATGGATAAAAAAAATCAATATGTCAGCTATTTCTCTATTCCCATTAACACACGGCATTGGATCTCAAAGGCCCAAGTTTTACGCTGAAATACAACAATCAAGACCAAAAGAAACCATTAAAATCCCGAGATGAAGACATTAAAGGTCATTTAGTTCCATACAGAATCACACAAATCCTGGCTCCGCTGTAACATCAAAATGGTAAAATACAAAAATAACCTAACAAGCTAAGACTTGTCAGAAGAAATAATAGTAACTATTTAGTCTTTATCAATGAACCTAAAACTCCAATCGAATGCCTGCTTCAGTTTGTACAAGATAGCCATCCTAATTGTTCTAAGAACTGAAAACAGGTTATGATTTAGGTTTTACGCAGACAAAATTTGTTAAATGTTTGAAGAGCTAGGCAGGTGTAATGTTGATAATTGCATGCAAAAGACTAGACACGGATTCTACGTCCTAACTTCTAAGACAGCAAGAGAAAGAAGTATCACATATAAATAATGGTTACTGTGTTTATAAACTTTAAATATGGAAAATTCACTAAGATTACTGACTACATTAATTCAGATACTATGGAGATTAGAGTCAGTTTCAGAACAAGTTGGCCATTCAAGATCAAAAACTAACAAAATATCTTCCTGAGATTCAAGAAGCTCATTCAAAATTTTTTCCTAAATCAAATTTTAATCAGTATCTAATGTTTTTAATTCTTTTAGGGGTGATTTGAGTTCAACCACTACATCAGATATAGTGATCCACAGCACGTGACAATTCCTTAAGAGACATAGGAAACAAGTGGCTTCAATGACTACAAACCTTCTCCAATTCTAAGATTCCTTTAGCAAATTCTTTTCTCTGTAGCAATGCAAGACCTAACATATAGTGGGCCTGGAAGAGCAAATAAAACAAGGTAGAAGTTAATTCAAACTGTTAAATACATGTAATTATATGTAATTATGGTAATGTGGAAAGTTTATCTTTGTAATTATGATAAGTAGGTAACCTTAGATTTTGTAATTACTCTTATATTTATGAAATTATGATTATCAATATAAATATATACTCCACTCATCCACTATGTAATTCTGCTGTATAGTTGAAACACATGGATTCATTTTGTGCCTTCTCATTTCTCTCTCCTTCTTAACATGTATCTAGAACCTGAAAAGAGTGTTATCCTAATCCATGAAGACCCAGTGAGCCCACTGCCTACTGTTGAACATTATTTTCAAAAATCATCTCATCTCTAATCTTCGATCTCTTCCTATTTCTGGCTGCTACTATTTCCACCAACATCATGTTTTTCAGTAACATTTTTTATCTGCAGCCCCTAGATCAGAATTACCATCTTGCGCCCAACCTAGTCATGTTGAACCCATCTTGATAGAAGGTCTGGCATGCACTCATGTGCCACCATAGCATGCATGCATCTTTTTGATCCATTGCCAAGTGTGGTGACATGTCTAGCATGCTTTTGGCCACTACTTGAACTGCTAGTGTTGACCAAGCTGGTTCCAGATATGTACTTTGTTCATTGTTTTTTGACCTCTATACCCACTATTTGGTATTTTCAATATGGCTTACATCAGCTTCTCTCTCTTACGTGCTAACTCATGGCATATCCCCTCCACCCTCAAAGGTTGAGACACCTATTTTTTAGTAATTATGTTACTCCCCTACTCGTGACGAATAAATTGGATTCGAGCAACTTTGCTACATGGACTTCAAACATCAAACTTTGGCTTAAGAGTCAAGGTTATGCCAATCATCTTATTACAAAAGAGGCGTCCATCAATGCCACTGAATTCCAAGTGTAGCAAGATTCATGTCTAATTTTGTAGTGTCATAAAATCTAGTATTCATCCTTCTTTGAAGTAAATGCTTTACCCTCATAAGACATGTGAATCTTTTGGAATGCATGCTAAAACTCTGCACAAATGGCAGTTGGTGCCATTATGAGGTTTGTCAAAATCTCAACAATGTGATGGTCCCATGTTCAAATATTTGGGTAGTGTAACTAGCATTCTTCAAGACTTAAATGGAGTCTTACCTTTTCTCTAGTTGTAAAGAACTTGAAAACCATCACAAACTCATTGTGTTATTCACTTTGTATGGTTTATTGGTAGAGTACTCTGATATTCAGATCAGATTTTAAATTCACCTATTGTGTCCATCATGGACTTCACATGGTCAACTTTGCTATGTGGATATGCCTCTTGCTTTAGTCTCTCAAATTGGTGACCATGCTTGTTCTTGCAAATCAAGCAAACATTATTAAGTGTGACCATTGTCACAAGTAGAGACACACCATTGATAGGTATATTATGCATGCTCTATGGTCGTTCACCTCAAGCTATTAATATTGCCAAGGCAGCTACACTTGCTCCTTCAGAGTTTACAACTTCAGTTGAGCATTTGGCTATTGATCCTCCTCTTACCTACAATGATTTCCTTCAACGGTACAAGGAGCATTTAGACTCAAGTTTTAATGCCTATGTTGAGCACACTAGTAATTCTTCCTCCAACATCTCTCATTCTCTTAGTTCATGGGTCCTTGATTTTAGGGCTACTGATCACCTCACTAATAACATGTCTCTTTTCTCTTCTCTCTTTCCTTCTGATTATTTACCATCTATTACTATGGCAAATGAGTCTCAAACACAATCTCAAGATCTTAGTACTATTCATCCACTTCCATTAGTCTCTTTGAACTATGTCATATCTTTTACTAAAGATTGTTTTCCTGCAAGACTAGATTTCAGGATAAATGATTGGTATTGGATATGAGTCACATGTACTTTACCAACTATAACACTTTGCTCATGCTAGTTTTGTGGTGGGCTTCCTCTCATAATTCATGTTTAATTAAGTTATTCTAATTTTCAAAAGTTACGACAAACAATATCGAGTCTCTCCAAGCAATCTACTTCATCTTTTAAATCATGTCAATAATACAAACACATCCATAATTCCTTTCGTGGTCATGCTAATACTCAAGTTGCATTTCATTTTAGTTTAATTCATTTAGATGTTTCCAAATTGTACTTCATCTTCCTTAGACTATAGGAATTTTGTCACCTTTATTTATGTTTATTTTCGTTAATCAAAAATCAATCCAAGTTTTTTTTTTAATCTTTCAATACTTTTACCATGAAATTTAAAAGTCAGATTGGTATTATTATTCACACTGTATGTAGCGATAATGCTCATGAATATTTTTCATACTTTATGACTTTACATGGCATTCTACATTAGATTTTCAATGCCTATACCCCTTAGCAAAATAAGATTGTTAAACCCAAAGAATAGACACCTTATTAAAATCATTTACAGTACTTGTTTATGGTAGCGATGCTGTCTTTGCCTGTTATTTCATTAATAGAATGTCATTTTCTCTTCTTAATGACTAGGTACTATACTTTATCTTCTTTCCTCATCATTCTTTACATCATTTACCTTTTCATGTCTTTAGATCGATTTGTTTTTCTTATTATCTTAGTCCATGAATTAACAAGTTTTTTCCTTCTGCTAACAAATGTGTCTTTCTTGGTTACTTTTAATTTCAAAAAAAGATTATAAATGTTATTTTCCAACTCTGAATTGTTATTTTCTCTCATCTATTGTTACTTTCTTTGAGTCAGTTCCCCTTTTGTAGGTCTTGGAGTGTGATATGCAACCTATTATCTTATTAATCATATGTCAACTCCTGTTCTAAACAATCAAATACCACGACTCTCTTGTTTTCTCATCACTCTTTATATTCTTGTATCTTTAAATCCACTTATCTTATTTATAATCCTAGTCTAAGAATTGACAAGTTTTCTGCTCATGCTCAAAAATGTCTTTGTGGTTATACTAAATCTCAAAAAGGTTATAAATTTTATTCTCAAACTCTTATCTTATCTCGGACTATGTTACTTTCTTTGAGTCAATTTCCATTTTAAGGTCTTGTTCTTCACTTGGGAGTTTTAAGTCTATCATGTTTCCCTTGTCTCTTCTACCTATTCTTGTTGTTTTTCAACCACTAGACATCATCTCCTCCAAATAATTCATGTCCTCTGGTACCAACTCCTCTGCCTCCTTTGGCCTTCCCTTTTGTGCTCGATCTTCCTATAGTTCTTTGAAAAAATATATTCTTCACTCATAATCCCTCTACATTATATTGCTTTGACATATCATCATTTATCTCTTTTTCATTATACTTGTCTTTTTTCCTTTTTATCCTTTGTTTTCATCCTTAGCATTGGTGATGCTCTTTCTCATTCTAGTTGGCAAAAATAGTTATCAATTCTGAATGTGTGCACTTCATATCATGTTATATATATTGTTCAAAATTAATGGCATATTCATAATTATCAATAAAAAGTAATAAGTCATAAACAAATAAATAACAATAATGAAAGAAACAATAGTTTAAAGGTTGCAAAGGGGAATGATAGATAACAAAAAACATATAACAAAACAAAGGCAGCAGAACTACAAAATAGAAAGAAGAATAGAGAGAAGTCTTTGATAGAGAAGAGAGACGAGAAAGAGTGGGTGTTGCTGGCAAATAACTGGAGATGGGTAGCTCTGCCACTGTGGTTTCAAAATAGAAAAAGGATAAGTTTTGAACAGGAAAAAGAGAGGAGAAAGCATGGATGAAAAATTGAAAACCCAAAGAAAGGGCTAGGGTTTTTTTAACTTTTCATAAATATCAAAAAGACAACTTCAACCCTAAAAAAAACCACAAAACAACACAGTTTGAAGGCCTAAAATGGAATTTTTCATTCACCTCTATGCTAAACAATTGCATCACCAAATGCAGATTTTGGGCCACGAAAGTGGCTATGACACCTGTGAATAAAAAATGTTCCACTATTGAAGTTCTGTGGCAGCCAATCACCACTACACCAACATGCACATAGTGTCATGACTCATGAAAGCGTTCCAATTGCATGCTATTGGTAACTATGCTTGGGACCTCATTTATCATCCTCCAGTGAAACATATTGTTGGATGCAGTTGAATTTACACAGTCTAGGTTGACCCTAATGGCCATATTGATTACCTTAAGGCTCATTTGGTGGCCAAACTATACCGAAATATTTGGTTTGGGTTATGGTGACATATTATCTCTAGTGACCAAAATGACCTTTGTTAGTTTATTGCTTTCTATGGTTGCAATCTGTCATTGACCCATTTATCAACATGACATCAAGAATACTTTTCTTTATAGTGGTCTAAAAGAAGTCTATATGGAGCAACTCCTTAGATTTGTTACTTAGGGGGAGTATTCAGGAATAATCTATCATCTCCAAAAATCTTTTTATGACTTCAAACAATCTCTTAAGGTGTAGTTTGACATATTTAGCACTATGGTGACCTTTGTTAGTTTATTGCTTTCTATGGTTGCAATCTGTCATTGACCCATTTATCAACATGACATCAAGAATACTTCTTTATAGTGATCTAAAAGAAGTCTATATGGAGCAACTCCTTAGATTTGTTACTTAGGGGGAGTATTCAGGAATAATCTATCATCTCCAGAAATCTTTTTATGACTTCAAACAATCTCTTAAGGCGTAGTTTGACATATTTAGCACTATGGTCCAAGAATTTGGAATAACTTAAGAGTGAAGTAAATCACTCAATTTTTTATCACAACTTCACCTCATGATATTAATTGATTGTTTATGTTGACAACATTGCTATTACTGACAGAAATCACAATGGCATTATATAGGTAAAGCAGTGTCTATGTCACCATTTCTAGACAAAATCTTGGCAAACTCCGACACTTCTTGGGAATAGAGATGACACAATCCAAGAATGTAATTCATTTTCTAGCATAAGTAAGCATTAGATATCTTTTGAAGAAACAGGATTGATAGGTGTCAAACTTGTAAATACTCGTATGCATCAAAATTCCAAACTTTTTCCAGGTTAGAGAGAGCCTCTAATCCAAAAAAATATAGGAGACCAATGGGGAAGCTGAACAATCTCACTGTCACTTGTTCAGATATCTCTTTTGCAATCAATTTACTAAGCCAATTCCTTAACTCTCCTGGTAAAATATATCAAAGGTGCACTTGGAAAAGGCCTCTTGTATGATTCGGGTGGGCAAAAGGAAAATAAAAATAAAATATAGTTCAAATATTGGACTTGGACCTGTACAAAGCCATAAATATACATTTCTCATATCATGATTTGATTCCCATCTTTGTTCAACAGAGAAGGAATAGTATCACACAAACACATGACATGTGCATTTGGATTCTATCCAAATATTCAACTGCAAAACATATGAAAAAAAAAAAGCATGCTTATACAGTTTTCACTTTCAAAAAAACTAAGCAGTGCTTGGTCATCCAACAGGTTCCATGGATTATGGAATCAGCTCTCATTTTAAGATTATCATGTAAACGCAATCACATTGTTAGACTAGAAAATATAGAAGATAATCAGAGTGAATGGTTGCTGAATGAAGGCCCAGTTAAGCCCAAAATATGGCATGTGTATGCAAGGAAGAAGGGTCCAACCTTTAAAGGTTTAGCTAGTTAGCTAACAAGTATAAATGGAGAAGGAGATAACAGAAATAAGAGGAGGGGAAATTGTATTCTAGAAAGGGAGATTCAATCTCTGAATAGAAGCTGAGAGCTCTGAAAATTGTGTGTAAACATCCAAAATCTTTTTGATTCAATAATAAAGTTCATCCTCATTATTTCATATTCATCTTTCTTAATCTTTGAAGCCTAACACACATTCAAATTTTGTGTCATTGATGTTAAACAACCATGACAATTCTTAGCCATAATCAATAAATGCAAGGCTTTCTCTAAGGGACACAATAATAATAATTCTTAGAGGCTTACAGAATGGCTTACATGTTCCCTTAAAGAATTACTTTAGTCTTAAGGAATTACAAAATAACAAGTAGATTACAGAGACCTTAACCGAATTATTGTCCAGCTCAATAGCGTGACGAGAGTCTTCCTCTACTCTTCTCCAGTCACTACAAGCACCAGAAATAAATAAAACAGTTAAAATAACAAAACAAGAACTCAAAAAAATAAAATAAAAAGAAACCGATATTTTAGTCCCTGAAACCTCAAATCTCAATTTAATAATAATTTAAATTAAATCAAGATTCAATCCTTAAATTATTTTAAGCCACTTCACTTCTTTTGCTCTCTGTGTTAGGGACAAACGCGAAATGAGTTTGAATAATTCAATCGGAGCCTAAATTCCAACAAGGTTCATTACCAATGTGCAAAATATATCACTTTACTCAAACAAAACAATTTAAAAAAAAAAACAAAAAGAAAGTGACAAAATAAAAAAGATTAGGCGCGAAAATCATACTTGCGCTTGCTATGGCAGATTGCACGATTGGTCCAATACACTGCAACATTGGGGCTCAGCGTAATTGCCTTGAAACCAAACAAACACTTGGAAGTTTCAAACTTTACCGAGAAAATAAAAACTTGGAAGAACCAAAACCCTGAAAATGAAAAAGAAAATGGAAGAACAGGAAGAAAACCTCAGTGTAAGCATCAATGGCAGCTCCAAAACGATATTTTTTGAAGTAGTTATTGCCGTTTATTCTTAGTTGTTCTGCTTGTTTTTCCACTGACGACAAAGAACCTGCATCTGGCCCCATCTCTCTCTCTCTCTCTCTCTCTCTCTTCCTCTCTCTCTCTCTCTTCCTCTCTCCAAAACACACAGTTTTAACTCTATTTTATAGGTAATGCAAAATATAACGATGTTCTCGGTTGTGTGGTGGATGATTATGAAAAGACACAGTTGGAAATGACCCAATGTGGAACGACGAAGGGCAAAGGAATGAAGGCTGAATCTTGAAAGAAGTTGACGGGTCACGCGCTAGTATGTAAGTAAATGTAATTACGTAGACACTTTACTTTCTTTGGGCCGTAAATCTGACTCCTTAAATGCAGCAAAGGATACGGTGGGTTGGGTTGGGTTGGGTTGGGTTGGACTTGGACTCGTTAATAGTAACGTGGAAAACGACTTCAACCGAGGAATATAAATTTCGACCAAAAACAAACCAAGGAATATAAATTAACAACCAAGTTCCAACTTTAATATCTAATTTTGTAAATCCTTTTCAGTTTTGTCTTTAACTTGTGGGTTTGAAAATACAGTTTAATAAGTGTTTATCACAAGAGAGATTACACTATTATTATAATTTTTTAAAAATAAGTTTTAAAAATTAATAACTTTATTTTTACAAATTATACTAAATAACTTGTTAAAAAAGACGCAAGAAGTTTTAAGGGAGAGAATAAAACCTAGCTAAGTTTTAGTGAGATGTTGGTTTGGGTTTCTTCTTAAAAAACGTATCTTTTAGTCATATCTCAAATGTGTCTTTTATGAGGGAAAAAAAAAATCCTTGTTAATCCTTAGTATTAATCTAACAATTCTAAACTTACTAAAATCATTTCTCCTAAAGTAATAAGTCGTTTAAACTTATTTCATTATGTAATATCATTTATAAAGTTATGGCTTAAATTTTGGTTAGTCGAATGAAAATATTTCTTCAATTATCTTTGAAAATCAATGAAATTTTGTTACAAGTAGACAATGTACTGATAGCATTATCACTTGTTTAAGTATATTAAAAGTATAGAAAAAATTTATGATAAGTTAAATTAGAATTTTATTAAAAATTATTTAGAAAATGTTGCGCTTGGCATGAAATTTTCATATTAAGTTTTTTCTTGCATTTCTAATGCTTTTGTGTATCAATTGGATTGATGAATTGTTAGCACATTTTTTTTACCTTCTAGCGGTATTAAACCAAAAAGACTTTCTATCTTTGTATCTTTTTGTTAATTTTTTGAATAATCTAACCCATTGTATTCAATATAAAATAAGTATTGGTATCAAGAAGCATTTTTGTTTTGGTAAGAATGGTCTTAAAATCTTCCATATTTTCTATGTTGATGATCTAATTTTAGTTACTAAAAATTTTCACTCTTAAATTTACTTAATCTAATATGTTATAAATTCTTTTTGTGAAGTTTTTGGTCAAAAAGTTAGTTGATTAAGGCAGTCTTCTATTTACTTTCCTATCAATATTAGTTCTAAAGATAGGATTCAATTGAATCAAGAAATTGGTATTAATTTTCTAATAATTTAGATTATTATCTAAGGTCTCCTATTTTTATTAGTAGGAATAAAAAGAAAATGTATTCTAGTTTACTAGATAAGATTAGAAAAAACTTTTGAATTGAAAGACAAGATTAGTTCTAATAATTTAATGATCTCTTTTCAAAATATATTAAAAATATTATAGTTTAACATATTTGATTATCCAAACCTTTCTCGTCAATTATTTAAAATAATTCTGGACTAATTATAGTATGCTAAATTTTCATAAAAAATTGTGAGAAAATTGAATTGAGTTCATGATTAAAGTTTAATGGTCAAGTCTAACAACCAAAACTGACAAAGATTATGTCCAATTGATCAAATCATATCAGTTGCAACTTATAATTAAGGTGACAGACAGAACATTTAAATATAGTAAGCAACTAAAAACAACAGTGGCAAGACATGCTTGAGCACTTATATTTTTGTTAGACATTTTAGCATCCAATATATACACTACCTTTGTCATATAAACACCCACTATAATACGACCTTTATCTCATCATTTTCAAACACTCAGAGAAAGAGAAAAGAATGTAGGAAGAGAATAATCAAACTTGAGTTTTTTTTTTCCCCAAATGTGTTGATGCTTGTTGTGAGTAAGAATCAAAATCAAAATCAACAATGGTGAAAAAGAAATTTAAGATAAGAAAAGGAAAAAAACATGAGTGGTTATCAAATTTATGTTATGTTTTGATGAGAGGGTTGATGATATTGTTAGAGTAATGATTTAAGAGCTGTGGGATGTCTACAGTGCTGTGAAGGTGAAGAGTCGTGAGAATACTATGAGGGTGATATAGTTGTGAGGATGTTGAAAGAGTGCGAGTGTGACAGAGTTGTGAGGATGTGAGGGTGTAGTGAGCCTTAACCCACTTCATTTGTAATTTTTTTATTTAATTTACAAAAGTGTCATTCATGAAATATGAGTTTTCTGCATCTTGCAAGTTTTGGGGAGAGAAATAAAAAATTAAAAACAAAAACACCATGAAAACTATTTTGTATTTTAGTTTTAAAAACTGAAAATAAAAAATTATTTTTTAAAACTTAAATTAACAAACAAGTTTTTAAGTTTTTAAATTTTAAAAACTGAAAACTATATTTAAAAAGGAAAAAAAAATAACTCCTTGCTCTTTCTCAAGCTTATATTATAAACAATCCAAATTATTTCATGCAAACTCATTTGATTTAGGTGATTGTCTGTGAGGAAATAAATAAATTATGTAGAAACTTATATGAGATTCATTCCCACCTCAAACAAAATGTCATCTTATATTTTGGTATAAAATTCATTTGTCCAATTAAAAAGAGAGTTGGATTTTAGAGACTTGCATCAAGTAAATAGAAACATATATGGTTAAATTAAGTTTAAAAACTTTAAAAAACTTGAATTCTTTATAGGTTAAAATTATGAAAGCAAGGTATAAAAAAAATTGAATAACTTAAATAAGAAAAATAATAAGGTGTAGTTTTATTTTGTAACTTGGAAAGGGATTTTTAATCTCTCGAATATTATGCATAAAGGTCTCTTTGGATAATGGAAGATGGCTTAACAGTTATATTTTGAAAAGATTATTGGATTCCTAGTATTCTTAGTCTTGAACAACATATTGATTTTATTATTTCTCCTAAATTGATTCTAATAATAATTAGGATTAAGGAAAAATTAAATTTTATGTTCTCCACAATATTTGTGATATAATCTCTAATATTATTTTGCCAATAATGATTGCATGTATGAATTTACTAGTTTAGCCTCCTAACTTTAATGGACTAATTACTCCCAATTCTACATATAACTAGAAAATATGTCCGTGCGTTGCACGGGTTTATTTTATTTTTATTAAATTAATTTATTTTAAAATATATAATTTAAATATAAAAATATATAAATATAATAAAAAATTTATTATATTAAATATAATTATATTGAGGAAAATTACGAAATACTTCTTTATATACAACATCTTTTGTATATCCTATATATTTGTCATCTTCTTTAATAATAAGAATTTTTATTCTTTTTGCTGATGTTACTCTAGACAATGCAACATATAATTGATCATGACTAAATACAGGTTTTGCCAAATATAATTTAACGATTGTCCTTGACTTTTGTTTATTGTCATTGCATAACATACTTTTATTGGAAATTATTTTCTTCTTAAAAGAAAAGGCCACTTGGAGTCACTTGCTGTTAAAACTATCCGCAGAATAAGTATTTTAGTACCAATGTTACTTTCTGTAATTATTTTTGTTAAAATTTTTTAATGATGATATTAACAAATATTTTATTTTATAAATAAATAAATTATTACTATCATAATTTTATTAAAAATGTTAATAATAAAAATTTCAGTATAAATACATAAAAAAAAATTATCCTGTAATGTATTCAAATTAAAATATATTATTTTTTGTATTTTATATAAATAAATTTATTTGCAAACAATATCATACATATTAGAATAGTATTGTAAAATTAAAATATATATATAATTTAGTGATGCTACATTAGAATGTTCTTGTAATTTAAACATTACCTGATACATTACTTGGTCCTACAAAAAAACCTGATTTAAATATTTTTTTTAAATTAAAAAATATATAATTTTAAGAATATAACATAATAAATAATTATATTAATAAAAAATATTTATATTGATTTCATATTTTTATATATAATACCTGTATTTTGATTTATATTTTGGGAACTAATTGTAAGTCCATAAAATGATTGAATTTTTCCATTAAGAAACACTGTTATCTGTATTTGCAATTGAATACTCTCAGAAAATTTTTTAAAAGCATTAGAACATATATTCCAATTTGAAAACTTTGAACAACCATATAGTTAGAATATGAAATTCTAATAAACAAATATAATTTTATATGTTAATATAAAAAATACTTCTATAACATTTTAAACACTAAACTTTATCTTTTTTAGATTGAAAGTCTTTCTATAGTTGTAAAGATTTAAACTTCATACTCAAAAAATTTTAAAAGTATGTAAAGAGAAATATTCGTTAACTTTTGAAACAAATGATATATCTATATATATATATATATATATATATATATATATAGAAATTAAATATAATATTTAAATTTAATTCAGAGTTAAAACGTTACATTTTCTTTACTTATTCATTCATTACGATATAAAAGTTTTAAATATAGAAATGGAACAGTTACCTAAAGATTTAAAAATCAAATCAAATTTATTTTCATTGTTATGATTTTTAATAATGTTTAATTTAGTTTAATTGTTATAATTAATTAGTTTTAATTGGAGAATTTTGAATTTATCATTCTTGTTATAATATTTTATAAAAAGAAACATTGCATCAAAATCATTAAGGATAAATGTTGTTAATTTTTAATTTAAAAAAATTAAATTTGTCATCATAATTATTATGTATAAAATATAAATAAAATATTGTCTATGTTAATAGGTGATACATAATTATGATATAGTATAAGAGAAAAAAAGAGTTGTTAAAAAATTTTCAATTAAGATTTAGGTAAAAACTAAAAGTAAAGAATGATTGTATTTATTATAAAAATTAATTTTTATATCAATTAAAATTACAGATGTTGATATAATATAAAATTTAAATAAATTACATATAAGATTTGTCTAAAAATAAAAATTAA